ACAGCTCCTTCCGAGGGCGCAGTGGGTGGCTCTGAAAAGAGCCTTTGGATGCGATGGAACTTGCCGAGGGCCGCCGGGTGAGCTTAAGCGCGCTCCCCGCGGATGCGGCGGGCCAGCTGGATGTCCTTGGGCATGATGGTGACGCGCTTGGCGTGGATGGCGCACAGGTTGGTGTCCTCGAACAGCCCCACCAGGTAGGCCTCGCTCGCCTCCTGCAGCGCCATCACGGCCGAGCTCTGGAAGCGCAGGTCCGTCTTGAAGTCCTGCGCGATCTCGCGCACCAGCCGCTGGAACGGCAGCTTGCGGATCAGCAGCTCCGTCGACTTCTGGTAGCGCCGGATCTCGCGCAGGGCCACGGTGCCCGGCCGGTAGCGGTGCGGCTTCTTCACGCCGCCCGTGGCCGGCGCGCTCTTGCGGGCCGCCTTGGTGGCCAGCTGCTTGCGCGGGGCCTTGCCGCCGGTCGACTTGCGCGCCGTCTGCTTCGTGCGGGCCATGGCGACGGTCTCACAAACACTCGGCACGAGCGCGCACACAGAAACGGACGGCAGGCCACCCCCGCTACACACTTTATAGGCGACGTCTTTTTCCCATTGGGCGCCAGGGATTTGAAAGGCCCGCGCTGGCCGCCCATTGGCCGTGACGTCGCTCGCCCCAGCGCTCCCGGTTGGCTCTGGCAGAACGCGGACCGCCCCGTCCCGCCCCCCCCGCGGCACTTCCTGCTCTCCTCTCGGCCAGTACTTCCCCCCACCCCCCAACGCACCTGGTTTTCCACGGTTGTCCGGGACCACCCACCGTCGGTAGCTGGGGTTGGGCTTCAGCCCGCCCTTCACTCCCCTGAGACAGCCCCGCCCCGCCCCGCCCCGCCCCGCCTTCTGCCGGCCTGCGCTCCTGTAGCCCGAGTCCCGTGCGACCACCGTGTGTAGCTGGGGTGGTCCGCTGCCCGCCCTCCTCTGCCTTCAAGCAGCCCCGCCCTCCGCCGGCCGACGCTCCCGTGCCCCAGCGCGGAGACCCGGACTGGAGGGGGCCTCGGGGAGTGTGTTGTTGCCGAGGGGCCGCGGCGCTCCCGAGACTAAGCCAGGGCGGGCGATGCGAGCCCAGCTCGCGCCAACCCACGAGGCCCACGGTGGCCCCGGCACTAGGTCCAAGTGTGGGACAGGAGCTCGGGAAGCGCAGGGCGGGCCTGCAGCGACACCAGCGAGGGACCACACACTCGGCACGGACGCCCGCGGCGCGGCCGGCGGCCAACTTTCCCGGGAGTCGGACGGGACGGGCCGTTGGGACGAGGAAGCGAACCGACGCTCCGCACCCGCCTCCCTCCCCGCTCGCCCGGCCCCGCACGGACAGGCGGACACCGGCTACTTCGCGTGACAACTCTTCATTTGAAACAGTGGGTGGCTCTGAAAAGAGCCTTTGATTTCGCGGCCACGAAGGAGCCTGGCGAGGGGCGCGCTGACGGGACCCGCCTCACTTGCCCTTCGCCTTGTGGTGGCTCTCCGTCTTCTTGGGCAGCAGCACCGCCTGGATGTTGGGCAGCACGCCGCCCTGGGCGATGGTCACCTTGCCCAGCAGCTTGTTGAGCTCCTCGTCGTTGCGGATGGCCAGCTGCAGGTGGCGCGGGATGATGCGCGTCTTCTTGTTGTCGCGGGCCGCGTTGCCCGCCAGCTCCAGGATCTCGGCCGTCAGGTACTCCAGCACCGCCGCCATGTACACCGGCGCGCCGGCCCCCACCCGCTCCGCGTAGTTGCCCTTGCGCAGCAGGCGGTGCACGCGCCCCACCGGGAACTGCAGGCCGGCGCGGGAAGACCGCGACTTGGCCTTGGCGCGGGCCTTGCCTCCTTGTTTGCCCCGACCAGACATCACTGCCGCCGCACACCACCGAGCTCCGCCCTGCAACTGGGAAAAGTGCCGCGACCTCGCCCGCGCTACCCTTTTATAGGAAGAATGCGGATTGTCCGCGGAGCGCTCTCATTGGCTAACGCGCCATCCTGCCATGGAGACCAATAGGATGCCTCAGCCTGGATCCACTCATTTACATAATCTCCTG